CCCAGGCTCTGCTGGGATTGCCCCAGTCCGCTCCGGACAGTGGGCGGCTCCAGGCATTTGGTTCAGTCCTTGATGATTGATTCCCCGGATTATTATTCCCCATATTAGTAGTAGTAATATTGGCAGCATTGGCAGAATCAGCAGTCCCTGCAACACTTGTGTTCATGTTACTCCCTCCGAACAGCGGGTTTGTAGAAGCAGCGCTGGTGTTTCCTGGGTTGGACGCCGCTGGCGCCGGCAATCCCATGGGGCCGTCCACAAGGTTGGTGTGTCCAGGGGCTCCCGGGTTGGCCTCTCCTGCGGTGGAGAACCCACCCAACCATCCATTGCTCACGGGCAGCAGTTCACACTTAGCACTTTCCATTGCAGCATTTGCATTCACTTGAGGGTTGCCATAATTTTGAGTATTATTTGGTCCTGAACCAGGATTGTTGATAGTCTGAGGAAGGCGTTGTGTACCCCAAAGACATGCGGTGGTGGTTGCTGTTGAGCAGCCTCTTTCCTCCCTAATTGCAACACGTTCTGTTGATAATTCCCGTCGGAATTGGAGTCCGAATCCCACATTCCCATAAACATGGAATTAGAGGTCCCAGAGTTTGCATCTCTTGCAACAACGGAGTTGTCATTATTATTTTGCACATTTGGAAAGCCGTGGGGATTCCCTCCCCAGACACTTGAGTTCACATTGCTAACGTTTGTAGCAGCACCCTGCATACCCCACACACTCATCGCTCCGCTCGTACTCACCGTCTTTGCACTGCTACTCACACCCCACACACTGTCTGTGGTTCCGTTCATCCCTCTCGGGTTGGCATTTGCAATGGTATCGTTTAACGGACCAGAACTGGAAGCACTGGGAGTGGCATTTCCACTAGAAAGGTCTGTATCCCGCGGACTCAGGCTCGAGTCGTCTCTCTGGCCGTTATCAGAATGTTGGCTTAGCCCTTGCACGCTACTGGAATTGGACGCGGATTTGTCAGAGCCAGCATTAGAAAGAGAGTCATCTACTTCTGAGGTTGTCTCTGATTCATTGTTCAATGAAGGCCATGACTCCTTGTCTTTACCGTCCACTACGACGCGGTCCCAGCTGCTACCGGTATCATTCCACATGGAGAAATCGTTGTCGCCAGACCCTTTGTAGTAATCTGAAACAACAGGTAGGATGGTGACTAAGCATACTGTTACTGTAGATACATGTATAACACAGGAAAACTGCTTATTGTAAAATTTGTATGTTTCTGTTGTCTGCATGTTGTGTTACATGGAGAAATCGTTGTCGCCAGACCCTTTGTAGTAATCTGAAACAACAGGTAGGATGGTGACTAGGTGTACAGTAGTATATAACATAAGGGAAAACTGCTTATTGTATGTTTCTATTGTCTACATGTTGTGTTACAAGGAGAAATCGTTGTCGCCAGACCCTTTGTAGTAATCTGAAACAACAGGTAGGACGGTGACTAGGTGTACAGTAGATATAACCCAAAGGAAAACTGCTTACTGTATGTTTCTATGGTCTACATGGGCGGATTCGAACACAGGACCTCTCAGTTCTGACCCTAACATTCTGACCTTGCACCACACCACCCAATTTTATACTCCAACCCTTCTCTTCTACAGTCCGTTACGATTTAAACTGCCCCACCTTGCTGCTTCTTGTTTTCCTGAAAATACTATGAGAAAACCCTAAATTTGAACATTTTGGGAGAGGTACTAGGATTTTGGGGAGAGGTGGAGCACTCTTGCTTCATTGCTTCTATGGTACAAATGTCTGTTAGGACTCAATCCGTCCCACCTTGCTGCTTCTTGCCATGGCCCCCTTTTTATAAAATGGTCACTTGAGCTTAATAAACCAGTCTACTACTACTACGGTACGTTACGATCCAAACCACCCCACCTTGCTGCTTCTTGCCCTGGCCCCCTTGTTGCTTCTCCTTGTGGTGCTGCTTCTTGTTTTCATGAAAATACTATGAGAAAACCCTAAATTTGAACATTTTGGAAGAGTAGGATTAGGATTGCTTCTACGGTACGTTACAATCCAAACTGCCCCACCTTGCTGCTTCTTGCCCTGGCCCCCTTGTTGCTTCTGCTTGTGGTGCTGCTGTTTCTGGGCCTGCTGCTGGAAGCGCGGGGGGACTTCCCGCGGGTAGCGGGGCGGCTGCTGGCCCTGGGCCGAGCTGGGGCGTTTGGCGGCCTGCTGGGCGGCGGCGGCCTGGGATGGCTGAGACTTGGCAGATTCAGCTTCTGCAAATGGGCAGTTTCAAAAAGTTTGTACTGTAAATTCATTCACTTTTGCAGGGTCTTAAATTCGAAGGGAAAGGAGGCTTTTGTGGTGTTTTAAGTTTGCTGTTGAAACAATTCTGTACTACAGAAGTAGCATGTCAGAAACACTGAGACTTGGCAGATTCAGCTTCTGCAAACCGGCAGTAGTCAAGAGGTTGGTACTGTAAATTCTTTAATTTTCACAGGATCTTTAATTCAATTCAGTGCATAAGTTTACGGTAGCAAAAACAAACTTTAAGTCACTACAAACATTAGATTTACAGTATTCAACAGGTTGGTAGTGTCAAAATGAACACCACAAAAACAAATGTGATTGTGTTTTTGAAAATGCAGCTGAGACTTTCTGCAAACAGGCAGTAGGTTGGCATTGTAAATTCGTTAATTTCTGCAGATACTTATTTTATGGGGACCTGTGTTCGAAGGGGAACAGAGGTTTTCGCGGTAAAATTTAAAAAGTGATTGTGTCTTTCAATTTAAAATATAATAATATGGATACAGGAAAAAGTGGACCTTACCTTTGGCTTTCAGCTCCTGTGCCTGTAGGAATAGTAAAATATGAAACAAATTTTAGGACAAAATCACACCTGAATATCACGCTTTACGTTATGCCTCGATAAGCCAGTCTAACAATGAAAGTATTTTTTGCTGTTATGAGATTATTATTAGTTTAATCTTTCGCTAGTTTGAAACAACACAAAGAAATTTCATTCACATTGTGCTTTGTCTTGACAATCAGCTATTTTCATGTTATTTTAAACAGAAAGATGGTGAAAATAGTCTCCCAGCATCTTGTACCTACCTTGGCCTTTAGCTGTTGCTGCTTCTTTTTCTTTTCCTCACGTTTGCGGCGTTCCTCTTCTTGCCGCTGCTCTTCCTCCTCTTCCATCTGAAGCCGAAGCTCTTCTGCCTCTCTAGTAAAGAACACACATACACGAGTCTTGAGATACAGATTTAATGACTCTGTCATCCTTGGGGCTGTATTCTTGTAGAAGCGCCATCTAGCAGCTAATGATAATGACTACAGGTTCTAGCACGACTGAAAATACCACCAGTCCTGCACATGCTGATTTATAAAGTAGTGTACATGGATTTTATTTGCTGCATTGACTGCTACCACCTAAGAAGCATATGTATAATAATAATAAAGAAATAAAGGTAATGGTTTCTGAACAGTTTTTAGTATGATCAATTATCATACTTATTAAATTGGGTGACGTCGGTAAAATGTGTCTGGTGGAGATAATTTTCAATGTTACCTGTACCAGTATAAAAATGCTGTCAGGTTCAGTTCAGTTCAGTTTATTACGATACCCTTTAGCCCGTTAGGACTAATCTTCCAGGGAGGAAAAATATTTAATGAAATATTACATGGTTGTATATAAGACTCCAACATTGGGCTGAATAAGAGGAAGATAGTAGTCTTACTTTTCTTTTCGCTTTTTTTCTTCCTGAGCTGCTTTAATATATTCTTCTTCCAGACGCTTCTGTTTCTCAAGTTCCTGCTGCAAAAAAACAAGAAATCCTCTTCACATCCCTTCATACTCAACATCATTCATATCCAGTCAGATACAAACTAACCTTGTGAATCTTGAGTACCTCACAATACTGAAGAAGAGTGATGGATGCTACTTGAAACGTCCTGGGGTAATCTACGTTATTTCATCCAGTAATAGAGTTTGAATTGTCAGTGAAGGTTAGACATCCAGGTAATAAGATACGCCAAAAAACAGTTACTCAAGCAATTGGATATGATTTTGGTTAACAGTCATACATTTCAGATAGCATCCACTACCCTTTGTCAGTAACACTGGATTGTCTATGAGCATCCTTTACAAAGACCCTTGAAAGTCTTCTTGTATAAATTGAAGATGGATATGAGTTGCCTACATATTGATTACATGTAGATGTTGAGAAGAAATGTATTGGATGCAGAACTGTTGCCTTACAGGAGCCAGTGGAAAAATGTACACAGAATTAGCAAGAAATACATAAAATCTCAAATTGTATGATAATTTTTTATTTTCAATTTCTTGTTCTTTTAATGGACGTTCGAATTCCTCACCTGCTTTTTCTTTTCAGCTCTCAATTCCTCTTCTTTTGCCTTTTCCTTAAGGTCATGGGCAATCTCCTCCATTTCCTGCAGGTGAGCACAAAAAAAAAAAAAACGTCTCAGTGTTCACTTCAGTCTTCACTTAATATAGCTAGAGATGGTGGACAATATAAACTCCCTGGCACTTTTGATTAATTGCTTACGTCACGCATCAGTAAAGTCTCATGTGAATAAGGTCACGTGTTTATAACCATAACTCTCACGAGATCAAGTTGTGAAGTGATTGGTCATTAATTATCCTGATGAAGGTGACAGTGGTCTCTGAAAATTTGATCTCTCTGTAAACTGTGTGTTGGAATAAAGTTCAACGTTTTACTATAATTACTACCAACACAGATGAACTTTCATGATAGTCTCAGTACAAACTAACTACTTAATGTAGAACAGTCACACTCTATCAGAGGTGACATGTAATCCTTTGTCTATTGGCTAATGGTGCAGTGCAGCTTGGTCACGGCTAACGTTTACATTTGTATATCCATTCAGGATCATCCTACTTTTCTGGACAAGTGTGCTGGGTTCTTTAATGTCTGAAACTCCCTTAAATAAAGGACCAAAGGTCTAACATCCCACTTGAACGACGAACACAACCCATACCAAAACATAACACTAGTATCAAGCGTTGACTGCATTGTTTTGCTAAATTTTCCATTCTATTTTGCTTTGCTTTTGATGTTTTCAGTTTAAAAGTAGGAGCTGTGTTCTCTTGTTTGCTCAAAAACTGGAGCATGTCCATCTGCCTTGCACACACATCGTCACCTCTCAGTACCACTATCAGGTTGTGTCTGGGGTAGGTTTTAATGTCTGAAGGAACGACACACCATACCAAAGAAAAGAAATCTAACCAGAAAACATGAAATACTACAAGCTCCATTTTAAGTGGTAGGTTACATATCATATCTGTCACTTCAAAAAACAATGCGTTTACGATATATCTAGTGCAGGTCACTCAAGTATGCACAGTTCAAATATGCAAGCCAAGAGTGCAAGGGGGACATTGAATTGGGAATCTCCTTAGATGCATTTTTCAGTAGACATGATGTTGTTAAGTTGTAAAAATATCTTCAAGAGAAAAAATTATATCATACCTTCTCCCTCCTCCTTTGTTCTGCTTTTAATTGCTTCTTTGACTTTGGTTTAGGCTGGACGAATAAAAAAAGTACATGTCAGTGTTTCCTTTGAATACGTGTTTTTAATGTCTACTGTACTACAGAAATGGTTTCAAACGCAAACTTCAAACCCTGTAAAAAAAACTCATTTTTATCCCAAATACAAAATAAAACCACCATATAAAAGGACTTTTTAAATGATATAAATGCTAGTTCTTATGTATCTTTTATACATATTTGTGTTATTAGAAGTAATACAACACTGTTAGATGCTAGATACTGGATCCTATCTGTATCTGTATAGCCGGTATAACTGCCCTTCGGCGTAACACACCAGCTTCTGTATCTGTATAGCCGGTATAACTGCCCTTCGGCGTAACACACCAGCTGCTGTATCTGTATAGCCGGTATAACAGCCCTTCGGCGTAACACACCAGCTTCACGGGCAGGCGGTGCGGTGGCAGCTGGCTACAATACACCGAATGCCTTGTTACACCTAACCCTTGAACATCTAACTCTAATCATTATTTAAAGCTATCTAGTGATAAGACTGATTGATGCTGCAGGATGCCAAAGCTACTGCAGCAGCAGAATACAGTGGACTACTACTATCTAGTGTCAACGCCCCTACTATAGATCCTACCTTTGCAACAGGCACTGGAAGTACAGTTTTGGATTTCTTGCTGTTCAGCCTCTTAGCGTTCTCCCGCTTGTGCGCTTCCTTCTCTTCTGCTAGAGTGTCTTTCAGATAAGACAACTGGAAGACACAGGAACAATAGGACATTGTTAACACTCATGATCAGGACACCTGCTAGGATTCAGAAGTCAGATAGCACTGTGAAAGTGATAGAAACACTTTTGTAAAAGGATGTCAAAAAGACGCAGGACTACAAAACATGACAGCTTCTAAGCTGCCTTAGTGGCAGAAATACCTTTTTTCAGTGTTCTGCAATATTGCAGGATTGTGAAAATATTGTTCTGCAATTCAGAAATACTTTCTGCAAATGCACACTCAAAAGTCTGGATCTAAACCCATAGCATATAAAAAATTGCATGTAATGGCAAACAATAGCTCTTAAACACCATTGAACCCCAGCCTGATTTTTTCACTCAGCAAAATTGCAGGTTGCTCAATTTTTCTTCTGCAATATTGAAAATGTCTCCACAAAATGCAGACTGCAGATGAGTATTCCTAACACTGTGCCTGAATAGAAAACAAATCCTCAATCTAAATCTAACATCCAGAAACGCATAAATTCTGACACAAATTTTATCAAAACACTTCAATAGGCTCTGCCACTGAGGAATGGTCAAAAATCAGATCCTTGCCTTTTCATCTGTGAAGCCTTCTGGAACTTGTTTTCCGTTCAGCCTACGATTCTGCAGAAGAAACAAGACACATTTCATACTTAAGATCCTACTTTTTCAATGATCATTATGAGTCAACTTCAAGCCCCCAGGTTTCTTTGACAGAAGTACAACTGAAGATAACTAGAAAAGTATTTTCATTATCAATGTACAAATGTAGTTACATCTCTTTGTTCAACAAGGGAAAATGCCTGATCATATTATGTACAGTACATGTATCTTATGTGGTGAAAATATTTGAAATTGTACAAATAATGTCCTTAATTTGCATAATTGACCACATGTCGCCTAGGTGTTTTTTTCACCTTTTATGTTTGCTTTATTTCTGTGGTACAAATGATGGCATCATAATCATCTAAGCTAGCACACCAACAAGCCAATTTGTTGAATCACACTGTCTATAACACAGAGCTGCATGCAAGTGTAGTAATGATGTCACTACCTACGTGAACGATATCCATGAAGGTGTCAAAACCCCTGTCAGCGGCGTCATCGTCCACATCATCTATGTACATATCATCTGGAGAGAACCCTGGACTCGACTGGCTGAACCAGCTGTACACGTCTGTCACTGCACAGGAACGCAAAACCACACGTCAGAAACTGTACACTACATCGCAACATGACACCCCTACACAGCATAAAGTACATGTACTACAGGCTCTCAACTGGACTGGCGAGGACCCTGCTGCATTGAGTCGCCCCTACACGTCTGTTACTGAGCAGGAACGCAGAACCACAAGTCAGAAACTGTACACTACATCAGAACATGACACCCCTACACAGCATAAACCCAACTACATGTACTACAGGCTCTCAACTGGACTGGCGAGGACCCTGCTGCATTGAGTCGCCCCTACACGTCTGTCACTGGGCAGGAACGCAAAACCGCAAGTCAGAAACTGTACACTACATCAGAACATGACACCCCTACACTGCACAAATCTAACTGTCAGGCTCTCGTTCTTCACTTGCACCAGTTTTGAACCTAGTCCAGTTCAAAACTGGACTGGCGAGGAACCTTCTGCATTGAGTTGCCCCTACATGTCTAGATCTGTTACTGGGCAGGAACGCAAAACCACAAGTCAGAAACTGTACCCTACAAGATGACACCAATATACCCCCCTACACACCACAATATTATACAGGGGTCTCCCCAGAACTTCTTACGGGAAAGGTGATGAAAAATCAGTGAATTTTCATGAAAATACTAAGAGAAAACCCTAAATTTGCACACTTTGGGAGAGGTGCTAGGATTTTGGGGAGAGGGGAAGCACCCATGCTTCACTGCTTGGGGAGAGCCCTGCAACTTGACACCAGCACACAGCACAATATACTATCCTGGAATCCATCCAGGGCTCGAAATATTTTTTGTTGCATACTTGCACGTGCTGTATCAGACAATTTTACCTGCGCCACTCAAAAGTCCGGATCATGCTAAAACTGTTTAGAAACTATTGCAAATTTCTTTTATACTTCATAAATTTCTTTTATACTTCCAGACTATTCTGTAGGATCAAATGGAGCTGGAATAGTATGGATAGCAGGCACATGTAGCACAAGATGTGTCTAGAGTACATGAATTGCTGCATTTTTCCTGACATGTAAAGTTTAACTTTTTCACATATATTGTACTACATGTAACAGGTTGCCTACAGAGTAAACAGTTCTATCATGTTACAATATTGCATGATAAGTTTGAAACACTTTTTCTGTTATCTGCAATATGTGATTCATAATCTGTTCTAATAATAAAGGTTGACAAATGGCAATTCATAATTTTTAATATGCATATCAATTTTTTTGGAGTAGAAATTGCAGGTTATAAGTTATAACTTAGGCCATTGCAGGGCGTAAAAGTATGAGTCTTGAATGTTGCAACCTTGGTGGTAATCATACTTGTAATAATGGTCTTCTGCTATGTTTTGCTCAAATGCATGTACTCAGTATTTAGAACAGTTACTGTTGTACCAACCATTTCTTAACAATAATGTTAGTGAATGGAAAAAAAAAACTTTTTCAATCCGACATACCTATATTATGATATCATCTGCTGCTATTAGCTCAACCCAGTAAATTCATGATTTAGTAGTATTACTATTAGTGATAACAATGGCAATGTCTAAGGTATTGATATGCTATCTTAAAATTTAAATCATTTCTAATCTTCTCCCTGCATAAGTATAGCCTTTTGGCAGGTTAAAAGAAGTTTAAAGACAGTTTCTGAAGTTACAATATTATACTGATTGAATGGGCCAATGTCTTTTGGCTGTGCTGTGAATAATGGGGAAATCTAAATCAGGTAAGACACCTTTCCTAAAAGGACTGTGTTCATCCTAAATACCACACACCTATAATTATGACGCTATTTCCAGACCTACACTATGTCAAGTATTCACACCCCAAAATGTCAACAGGTCAACTTAGGACTTTTTTAAGATGACATGTAAGTCTAAAATTGTTTGTGTTTCAGTACTTGCATCACGTTATACATGTTCCATATTAGGTTGAGATATCCCATCCATAGTATTGAAAACTGATATACCATCAAGTCTTAAGGTTTCTGCATGAGGCAACATTGAAAATTACCTGCACCAGACAAAATTAACATGCACCACTAAATGAAAATTTAGGAAGTAAAGATCACACGAAAACTGTTGTCAATATGCAGGTAGACATCAGAAATACCATGCACAATTTTACCTGCACTAACCTGCATATGCAGGTTGTATTTAAAGCTCAGTGAAAACACTTTCAAAGTACACTCAACATGGATTGAAGTTTGACCAAATTAAATAACTCAACAAATAAAACTACACCAAGCACGACACAAGGTTTATACTAATAAAAACACCCAATTGAGCTACTAACACACTCCAAGACAATTACTGGTATACCATCCAAAAACTTGAATCCTGTCAAACATTACATGTACTAGGATCATGTACAGGACAATACCACCACACCACATGACATTGACACGTAGTAGTTTAATGAACAGAAGCGTACCTGGCGATGTTTGTGGGTGGTTAGTGTTGCTGGCACTGCTTAATCCACAACTCTTCCAGACAGAAGCAGGGGGAGAATTTATCCGTTAGTTAGTCAGCAGAAAAAATCGTCAGTCAGACTCTCCACAACTACATAGACGAATAGAAACTCCAGAGGTCCTTCTTCAATGTTTTATTTTTTCCTTCAAATGTACAGTTGGTCTAAGGAGAGGGGTACCGTGGTATGGACAAGAGCCAGGTATGCTCAGTTAGGTCAAGTTAAACGTTTGAAATATTCCTGATGTGGATTATGACATTTCCAATAGTTTCTAACTATTTCTAACAGCACTCTACCATTTTTTACCATTATTTCGAATTATTTCTAACATTTTGTAAATAGGTAAGTGGGATGGGAAGGAAGTAATTCACACATCCCTGTGAAGTACAGGGTAGACTGCCTGGGTGTCAGGCATTGATGCCTTACAACAAAAGAGCCACCAGTGTCCAGCAGTGAAATCTAAAAATATACAGAAGACTACAGAAGAGTAGGATTAGCACCTACTTTTATGGGGGCAATTACCCACATCTACCATTTGGTTATTTGTTTGAAATAGTTCTAAATATTTCGAACAGTGAAAGAAACACATGGGTAGTTCAAATTTATTCTAAATAAAGAGATCTTTGTACAGCCACTTTCAAAATGTTTCAGAAATATATAAATGAATTCAAATATATTCAAATTTTCATTTTAAAATTTTTGAAAAATTTAGAACTTTTGTTACTGGGGTATTCTTTTCTTCTAAATAATTCAAACGTATTAGAAACATGGAGAAAAAACCCACTCGGTGACGCGGAATTGACTCTATGTTGTTAAGGGAAGAAGATTGGTATAGTACGTGAGAAAGTGTTTTTTTACCTACTTCATTAAGAGGAACAGGAAATACATAGTGTATTACTGTAAGGATACTAGTCTGGTACAACAGTAACTGACATCAATTATGTTCATTTCTATGGGTTACTTAAAATATGACCAAAAATTATCCCAGAGAAAGTTTTTGCTCAAGTTTACACAAATGCCACAGAGTTTAAGTTTTTCTTAAATTACAGTTTTGTGTAGATTTTTTTATAATGAACTTTTTTATACTTCCTTGCTGTATTGAGCATTTTCATACATACTACTTAAGTCATGTTCTCTTCAAAGCAAGGAGGTTTTGTTGTAGTACTTAAGAAAGCAGCTAGGGGGCCCCAAAATAATTTTTAGTAGGTCAACAATTATTTGCAATCATAACAGTCCATCCTTAGCATTACTGTGCTTAATCAAGGTACAGAAAGCAAATCCTTCTCAAAACTCGGGGCTCAAAATTCATTCTTGGGAACATGGACACACCTAGAAATTTAGCTAATAACCAACTGAAGGTAGTTGGAAAACTTGCGCAATTTTCCAGAGGGAGTGTGCTAGAACAGCCATGCGGCATGCCAGGCCGGGGTTATCCAAGGTCATTTTCTAATATGTCCACTGCAGTGTGTTCACAAAAATAGCCCTGCAAACACGGGATGGGTGTGTAACTTTGAACCCTAGGCCACAAGACAGCTGGGTACAAAACTGGCATCAATCAATACATGACGGTGTATAATTTAGAGAGGACAGCGTTTCAGACCGGTGACTAAAAACTAAGACATGGCGTGGGTGTGCCGTCATGATATTTTAGATTTACTGTGGAAAAGGTCATACTTAAACAGGGTTGACTGGATTAAATGGAATTATTCCAAGCAATTTAACATTTTGCAGATACAGTACATGTATGCCTTGGAGCCTGGATATCATGTCTAATATATTAGAAGATATAAATGTATACAATATTTCAGATGTATACAAATTACAATACCTAAAACTAAAACAATAGTGAATACCATGTTTCATACTAAGGATAGGCCAATTTATATTCTATTTCATTTTCATAAAGACAATTTAGCATTTGAAAGTTAGGAAAACTTGTAATACTCTAGACTTGTGAGACGGAAAATATGTAAATCCAAAGATGACAATTTAATGCTAAAAAGACAGTTGGCTTAATTTATGACATAAAATTGACCAAACTTGTTTTAGTTCCAGATCTAGAACTGTACTTACAATATAACTACTGTCCAGAACTTCCGTACCTGTGCCTAAAACTTTTTTTTTCAGATTCACAACCCTAGTTAGACTTAAATCTAAAGAACATATTCTTCTGTTGTCATATTGACGAGTATTGTCAGGAAAAAGGATCCTTCAGACAAAAGCATAAGCGTTCGCTAATAAATACCAACACTTCAATGTGAAAAACTTGCTAATGACAAAAGAAAATAAACCTTCAGGATATTGTTATGTGGCATGAACAACAGTCTCTAACATCTGTATTTATGCTTATTTGTTTACTTGTTGATTGCATCTACTTGTATTGGAATTTTCTAGTCTTCCATGATTTTATGACAAAATGGCATTTCAAGAATCAAGGAATTGAATCAGTAAGGAATGATAATAAGGAAACCGACTTACCCTCAGAGTCTGATAGCAGCAACTCTTCCAGCAAGTTGAAGAAGACCTGAGTGGTACAGACATCGGAGAGAATCTTATTACCTGTATCTTTATACAGCTTTTATTAGGATGGAGACTGTTTGGTGAAGACAAGTTGGTTGGACTGGTGACAAGTTTGGGCCAATCACACGGTAATTTTCTTCCTAACTTAGTATTGGTCATAAAAATTTCATCAGGCAGATACAAAAACCGACTGGGTTTGCCAAATTTGAAGATTTAAAAAAAAATGCGACAAAAAAGTCACGTCAAGCATCATACACAATTTCTTCCCTTTGAAATAATGTAATATGTCTCATTTCTACTTTTGTAACAGTAAGTTTAGAAAGTGCAGCTTACCTGATCACTATCTACATTTTCTGCATCTTCATCTAAAACAAAGTAGGAAAACATGTTTAGATAAAACAACATTAGCATTATTGGTCACAAAAACTGTACAAAACACATATTAGCATTATTCTTATATATACCCGGCCAATGTCTTCTTGTAACATACATGTAATTTGCATAAGAAAAAAATGTACGGTACATGTGGTGTTGGCATATTCATTTGCTACATGTCTATATATACAAAAATGTATGTGGTACACGTATCAGAAACACTGTTCTGGTGACAAGGCAAGCTGTTGTTCTTCTGCTTCAGCTTTTCAAGTTGTTAACTGTCAACTTTTGAAAAAACAAACTCCTGTACCGAGCCAAAATCAAAGTTCATTAACCCTCAGCCTGCTAAGGTAGCCGTTTGACGCCAAGTTTATTTTGGTTATGGGGTTAAGCACATTAGGCTTAAAGTTGAACAAAAGTCAATAACTTATAGCGTTATGCAGATCCCTACACCAAAAAGAATGGTGGGACAAAAAAGCCAGGCTTAGTGGGAAAAAATGGTAGTTTCCATTTTCCCAACTGACCCCAGGATTGTTAGATCATTTTAGCCAAAATCTTTTTAAAAATCTATAAAATAAATTAAAATCCCTACCTACCGACCCTAGTTTATTCGGGACTGAAACCGGGAACACAACATTAATTTTCCTAGGCCCCATCCTACTACACAGAGGGGTTGATATGCAAACCAGCTAATACATTATTCATGACTTTCTACAGGTGATATTTTTTACAGACTTGTAACAGCTAAAAGAGAGAGACTCCACCCTACCTTATAACTTCAAAAGCAGGAAACCTACTGTAAATTGTGAAACATTCACTGTGTATTTTTCCACATTAGGAGGGGAAGAGAAGTTTTCAGTATCTTTAAAAGTTAAATTTGCATTTGAAATTCTGTAATACAGTAGTCACACAAGGGAGAGATATTTACAACGGCATAAAATTGAGAAGGACAACCAAGAATTTCCAGTGGAGAGGTCACTTCACAAAAAAATCATAAAACCTTTTTTGTGACAGCCTTCCTTGCAATATACTCATAAAAAGCTACATTAGCAATGAGATATAGCCTATTTATAGGTAACATTATGTATAGAAATTTGCATATGTCTTCAAATATGCAGATTAAAACAGGTTATCAAATATCGAATATGCAAACTTAGACTAGTACTGTCAAATTTATATACGCAAAAAAAGAGTAATAGCAAATAATACATGCAAATTTATGCAGCAGTGTGTATGACAAATATTATCATGCTAGAAACATCAACTTGCTAAATTGCCAAATTGTCTCCTAATTATTACATGGGAAACCCCCATAATCAAACTAATTATGGTGTCATCATCTTACCTTCATTATAATAATCTACATGAGCACTGATTTCATTCATGATTCGTTTCAATTGATTTGCTTTGACAATTCAAACAGTAAATGTTAAAAGCACCCAATAGCAATGCTATTTCAGGGTGGCAATACAAACATATTCTGGATGAGGAAATCTGTCTGATATTGACATTTACTGCCGTTTCTTAGCACATTTTTGTCATCATTTCATACTTGAAACATCTGAAATAGCACAAAAACAAGCCTTATTTCTTGGTACCAACATTGAATAGCTAGAACCGGCCTACGCAACCCTTTTAACATCAGTGACATGTATTTTGCTTCACAGATATCAGTATTCTAGGATGGGATAGGATTGATTCAACTTACTACATTTAAAAAAAATGACCAGAAAACTGACTTTGAAAATCCAGTTTACAACCCTGAAAACACTTTCAGTGCCTTTAGTTTAAAAATCATGTGATAAAATAAAGATATTTATTTCAACCTTCAGAAAATAAGCCGAGGTGCGTCATTAAAATTTCAGTTGCATATGTGACAAAATCAGGGGGACATTTGTAAGCAGTGCAGGTATAGGCACGGTTCAAGTTCCATAAGGTTAAATAATGAAAACCTTTTACTTAAAAAACACAGGTACTTTGCAGGTAAATACAACTGAGACACACCCCTCCCAACGTTCAATACAAAACAGTTAATCTGCGATGGTATCTCCTTGGTCAACGACCCCAAGGCATAACACGACGCCCCGACAAACACCAAACCACTTAACAACTAATCTCATTTACAAGACTGGGACAATCAAAAATCAACACTTCGTTAGATGTTTTAACGGGGCGGCAGTTTGAACGAGATGCGTCCTGACGGGACGGCTATTTCGGAATGACCTTTTTTTTTCTTCCTCGGCTCACACACCCACTGGTTGTAGGTGAGTTCAAATTTCCGGCTGGAGCGTCACATTTCAAACAATCGGCATAGTTTGTTTACATCCAGAACCTTCTAATGCGGCAGTGGGAGTAAATTAGCAAGGACATGTCACCTACCTGATATCACTTCCCTGTAGGCAGCATTTATCTTCTCAAACGTAGCTGAATTCTTCCCATCTTGATTCTGAGGGGGGAGAGACCAAAACAGTTACTGTTGCCGCCGTGGATACTCCTGTTGTTTTAACGTCCCAGAGATTTGCCTTGTTATGCTAATGTGCTCTCACAGTGTACAGAAACCATACAAATTGGATTAAAGGCTGGCGTTGGGGTAGTTTTCCTGGCTTCCTACGACGCAACACACAGAAAAAAACAGCTCGGGGGGCCCAGCTAGACGGAGCTATTTCCAAACTTGGCAACATGCCACCAACGCAAGTCTATGGACCCGGGGGCCCCTGCCAGGCATTCTGACTTTTACAAATGAAAGAAAATATCCAACAGTTTGCAAAGCACAGGAGTGAAACCACCTCAAAAATGCACAAAATATCCTGAGGATATGGACTTGTAAGCACAGACCAACCTTTCTGCCCGATTGGAGGCAGGAACGTGTGTAAACCGTCACCATTCAACATGGCCGGAGCAGTAGGCCAAAATGGCTGAAAATGGCTGCAGTACATATAGGTCACCTGAGAGGCTGGCAGCAGGCTGAACTTTGACCTTTCACCCCTATAATCCTATCCTGGCCACCCACTCACTGTTCCTATATATAATACCATCAGCAAGACTGTTTCCTAGTCATATTTATCCACAAAATAAGTTGATTTCCTAACAATCTACAACCATACAAATCCTTGTCTATATTTTTTAGCCATCCTGTTTACAAAATAAAAGAAAACAGCTAACAGATGAAAGAAAGCTTCTACAATTTCGAGGCAAAATTTTATCACTTTTTCCAGAGGACAAAATATTTGTATGTAAAATAAAAAAAATTAGGACAATTAAAAAAAGGAATATACAAATGTTCTAATTTTAATTAACAATAAACCACTTGTGTCTAATGTCTAAATAGAAAGGCAAATATGCAAGCAGACACCTAATATGACCCCCAAGCAAAAATGGAATATTCCAAACTTTTGGTTCAAAATTGTCAAGACCTGTGTATCTGTCTAAAGCTTCATGCTTTCAGAAGATTTGCATAAAAGCCTAAGCATATACCTTTCTTCCATTGGATCATTCCATTTTTTGTGGGGTGGGCAAAATCATTTTTGGAAGGACTTTCACAAAGTCTCTACCCATTGTTAACTTTAAAGCTTTTTTTAGTGGAAAAAGAAAACATTTTGGTGAAACTAGATAATAATTTCTCATGCAAAATTTATGACTGAATAAAAAAATGATTTTTTCAAAATTTCTATACAACATTGAACAGGCCTTTCTTGCTATAAACTATGCAAATATTGTTCCCTATACAAGTATCAAGGAATCATTATACCTTTTTTGTTCAGGATCTTACAAATTTCTGTCTACCAATTTACATTATTAATATCACGTCACAGTATCCAAAAATATAGCTATATTTTGAGTAATAATAATAATACCTAAAAATTTAATATCTTTGGGACTTAGAATAAGAGCATGGCACTTTCTAGAAAGATCCAAAAAAGGAAGGACATGAAAAAATTGAAGGACATGAGAAAATATGTAATTTCCCTTCCCCTACAGAAGATCAGGGAATATAACAAATTCTTCCCACACCCCCCAAAAAATGAAATAAAAACAAAATCCTTTCATAACATTTCCACTTATCATGTTAACACTTAACTACAAAACAAACAAGACCTTTCTCGTTAAGGCAATTAAACAGATCAGGTCACTCATATGTAAATAAAAATCTGGCCAAGGCAACATTACAATATGGCTTCAATGTGTTAGGTTTTGCCTATAAGTTATAACAAGTAAGTGGCCTGTATGCTTGTCACGTTTCACTTCCCATAGAATTTGTCTACGGTACAGGAGTATTACTGTGACAGGTATGACAATTGCATACGAAGTCTATCTATGTGCGGGCTTGGAATACTTCTTTTCTGCATTGTAACTGCACTGTAACATTGAAAATTACCAGAACCAGACAAATTTTACCTGCAACACTAATAATTTTGGAAGTGTGGATCATACTAAAAAATGTTCAGAGGCCTTTGCCATTATTTCTTTTATATTTCATATAGACAGGAACAGTATATGCAGCAAATAAAAATCAACATACACCTACAGAAACCCAGTACATGCACCAGTGCAGGTTAGGTGCAGGCAGACATCAAAAATACCTGCACAGCTCCTATTTTACCTGCATTAACTTGCATATGCAGGTGGGATTTCTAGCCCTGGAAACGATTATATCTTTTACACTTGTACATGTACATGGACAACAGAAATACTTGCACAGCTTCAATTTTACCTGCACTAACCTACATAGGCAGGTGGTATTTCTACTAGTACTGAAAGTGATATGGAAAAACATGTGAATGTTTTCTGCTGTGAAATTCAAACACAGGTCTTTGACCCTATGGTGGACCCTGAACAATAATCCGACTGGTTGACCTTTAGACTGAACCTTTTTTCTAGCTTGTGTACCTTCTAGGGTGACTCTTTCCCCTCATTGAATTTCACAGACCTCTTTGCTAACATGGCACAATTTCTAAGTACTGTACCTCTTCAAATGTTTGCTGTGGATGGGTTTATTGTTGTTGTCTCCACCGCAAAATCACGACACAGAGAATGTGTTTACAATGTTTTCACCCCTGTACTAACCACTACAGAACTGTTGAAACTATGAACTTCAAGGAAAGATTTATTTTCCTTGAAAATAAATGAGTTAACAATATTTATCAGTGAACATAATTGAAGACGGAAGACACCAGAAACCACCAGTGAGTACAAGCTGCGTAAGACTGGACTGTAAGGTTTGAACCACTCACACCAGGAAAGACCCCTACTCTTTTTGTTAAGTCCGGTGGGATCTTAAACATGCTCGGAGGTGTGGCTCTCCTCTAACACTGGACCTCTGGCTTTATGTCCCATCTGAGAGGACGTCTGTATCTGTAACTGAAGATATTTTCACCAGGGTCGAATGTGGAACTACATGTACAAGTAGGTGTAAAGTGCTAAGTGCCTTTCCCAAGGACACAATGCTGGGGCCTGCCAGGGAGTCAAGAACCGTAGCCACAAGATCAACTTTGCCAATTTGCAATGAACCCAAGGAAACATTAGTGCAACAAAAACTTGTTTGGCAGCATTTGAACAAGTGACTTCCTTTTTGCCCTCATCATGCCCGTAGCCGGGGAGGGGGGGTTCGAAGGGGCTCAAAGGTCCACTTTTTGGTCCACTTTTTATGTAAAGGTCCACTTTTTGGTCCACTTTTTATGTAAAGGTCCACTTTTTATGTAAAGGTCCAAGATTTTTCTTTAAAAGATGAACTGGAATCGTAGAAAAACTGCTCCCTTTGTCATTGAATAAAAATTTATCTCTGATTTGCCCCCGGACCCCCTAGGAACCTCGCGCCTTCAGCGCTCGAGGTCTAGCTCAAGCAGTGGGAAGAACCCCCCTATTCAAAATCCTGGCTATAGGCATGCTCATCCCAATAGACAGACCTTATAGCTCTTCCTACTGCCATTAAAACACAGAAATAAAAAAAAACCACAAAATTCAGCCATCGTCTTCTTATTGGTCGAACAGCTAATTGCCATGCTACCATTGGTCGAAAGCTAATTGTGATGGTGGAAAAATGTCTGGCAGTCATTTTTGTTAATTAGCACTTCCAAGCGAACTCGCCAACTCCGCCCCAACTTCTGTGGCCTGGCGCCGGGAACCACGTGGACCCAGGCTAGCCAACTTCCCGCTCACATTCGCCCAGCTCGGGGCCTTGTGAGCGGACGTCTCTGGGTCGGTCTATAAAGTAAATAAACTGCAGTCCGAAGTTGAGACAGGTCACGTAGAAAGGTGAACAAGTCGCACACGCAACCAGCAATTTCTTACGCCAATTACAGACTGAAACCGACACACACACACACACAGGGGTGTGGCTTCATTTCAAACTAGAAAAGCCAGGACAGACATCTAGTGGTCTGGTCTGGAAAAAAGTTCATTATAATATAATTTATTACATCACCAAGTTTTTAAAGGTTATCACATAAACATGGGAGGGAAAATTGAACAAAATCAACCACCTTAATCTATAGTATTACAAAATGAAATCATTTTCATTTGTCCTTGTCTTCAATACTAGACAGAGACAAGATATATTTACCGGTACTGTACATGTACATTGTATGTGTGGAATTCGCATACCAATCCATTGTCAGCATATCTTGTCATCTACGTGTAAAACTGTGCAAAGCAGTTTCACTGAAGTTAAAGCCATCAACATTTCCCTTAGAATCAATTATAAAACATTGCTTTATAGTTACATGTATGAACATGTAGCTCAAAGTTATTTGCATTTTTGGGATGAGGTACTGGTTCATTTGCATTTTTGGGATGAAGTCATTTGTATTCTTAAGATGATGCTACTCACATCATGAGAGGATTTTAAGCAAAGCGAAGCACAGACTTCAAGATACATTGCTCCTTTTCCCAAGGTCCTTATTGCTTAAGAACATTTCCGAAGAGAGAGTCTTTGTCTTATTCATGACCTGCCACCATAGACTTAGTGTAGTAGGGTTTTCAGCACAGAAAATACTGCATGCGTAAGTGTGCATCCAAAATTGGAGTTGTACACATAATTTTTGACTGTATGTACAACAATGCACCTGGATATTTGTTTAGGGTAAAAAAACTATATGTTTATAAGGTACTATTACATGTTGGTTTGCAACATATTCTTGATATTTAAGTGCCAGAAAAAAATAATAAAAACCTTTGTCAAATCAAATTCGTGTGGCCTTAAAATTAGTATAATCAGGTTCTCTAACTTAAGTCCTTTACTGATAATCATGTTCTCTAAGTCTCATTGCACAAGCTAATATCAGTAATAAGAATAATCTTATTCCAGCCAGAATTACATTAGGGATCAAGCCTTACCTCATGTAAGAACCTTTAAACCTCCTTACGTCATGTAAACACTTGCGCCGTACTTGCGCATTTAGAAAGGCATTCTCTCAATGTCATCTTCAAGGGCACGCTACATCAAGGATCCTTTTGTTTTCGTTCAGGTTGAAACATCACTCATGGAAGTGGAAATAAGGTTCCTATTTTAAGTTAGCACTAAGGTGGTGTTGTGGTTAGGGTTGTTGACATGAGAAGGTTCTGGGTTCAAATCCCTGGAAGGCCCCAATGTTTTGCCACACCTACAAGTACATACATGTATTTCCTCAATTGCATCGAGTGAGAATATGTGCCTGGCTATACCGGGGTATATATATTATCACAAGCAAATCTTTGCCACAGAAAAAAACATATCACCAATATGTGGATAATAATTTAATATCATCTCACAGTTTCATGGCAACATTTCATAAACCAATTGCCTTAGGGTTATTTTGAATATTTCCAGTTTTGCAACCCTAAAATTGCCTCGGACGGCGCTTATCAAAGATCCAAAACCTTATTTTGGGCGTAAACGTACATCTATAAACAACTTTTCACTCAAGGCGCACCAATAAATGTGTTTCCAATATCGACTGGCTGTTTAGATGGCAAGATGCCATTTCCAGGGTCTTCCAATCTAGCTAGCTACTGAATAATGCATTATATGCCCATTGCGTGCAGTTCCAACATTACGGATAGGTGGAGCTGTTGCAACAGGATGATGCAATTATCTCAACAGCCAATCAGAAGGAAGGAAACCCTAAAAACACAATCTTCATCAAAATTTGAATGTCAATGCAATTGAAATCAGGCGTTAACTACATTAATTATCATTACCAAGCCTTGTTCTCAGTACTATGTTCGTTACGCTTATTAACAAGAAGTAAATGGTAACCACTTTGACGAAATAGGATTGGCATGTACCTTAAATCCATTTGTCATACATTGGCAGGAATATACAGAGCATTTCATCAAGGATTTTGTATGACCCACTTCTGGTTATTGTAGGAGGCTGAATTTGCCAATAAATAATAATAATGTCTCTGAACCATCACAATTTCTCGTAACAAAATACCAATATAAAATGTAATTTTTGCATCTTGCTCTTTTCTTGTTGGTTTCACTGAAAGTCTGTGTTAGCTCTGATGACGATTGATCAACAAAATTGTGCATACAGAATCAAACAGCTTGGTTTTGTCTCCTTTCTATTTTCCCTAAATGGATCCCATACTGGTCCCGTAGCAAAGTCTTGTTCTTCGGATTGTTGACTCAGAATCCGAAGGTTCTGGGTTCGAATCCCTGGCAGACCCCAGTGTTGTGTCTTTGGGAAAGGCATTGAAGAATTTGAACACCTCTTTCCTCACACGACTCAGGTGAACAAGAGTACATGTACCTAGCTTCCGCTACTGACATCCTCTCAAATGTAGAACATGAAGCCGGAAGCCTTGTGTTTGAGGAGGGCCACACCTCCTTGAGCATGTTAAAGATCCCACTGCACTTATTGAAAAGAGCAGGGGTCATTCTGAGTGTGGGTGGATCAAACCTTACACTCTGGTCAGGTCTACCGGGTGTGTTATGTAGCTTATGTCAAAAGGTGGTTTAAGGGTTATGCAAAACAAAGCATATTTTGTATAACTGGTAAACCTCCAGTTTCTTGTTTTTTCTTCTACATGTATTTTCTTCAAATCAACAAAGAACGAAGCAGACTAAAGGCAATGAAGAAGACTAAAACAAGCAGATTTACTAGTAAAATATCTCTAAGATCTAACTTATTCAAAGATTCAGAATTAGATTCGGAATTCCTAACCATCGACAGAGAGCCAGCCCTTTTCTTTTATACACAAGAACATTTCCCCCTTGGGGATTAAACCAATTGAGTGACCTTGGTAAACTCAGGGTGGCCTTGAAACTTAATTACCTCCTAAGCTTGGCGGAGGATAACTGCTGCAGGCCTGTTCACTCTATTGAAAAGGAGACATAATTCTTCTACATAAAACCTTTTCCCTTGTGGGGCATTTAAAAGTCTTTCTGCGGTGGAAGATGTAATCCAACAAAATACATCCCGAGAGAGAAGTCATCATGTATTTTACAATAAGATCAGCTATTTCTTATGGTACGCATATACCCTGTAGCTGAAATTCAGCTATGTCAACTGGGCCACAAATTACACAATAACATTTGATATGGGTGTTCAGGCCCATATGATAACTACCTCTATCACACAGGGTTCAAAGTTCCATGGAATTATTTGGATGCGTTTTGCGTTAGACAAGTGTGCTGCTTTCGAAAATTCAAACACCGGATTCAGACGTAGGAATTAAAGTTGTGACAATTTTTGTTTAGGGACACCAAATTTTGGCACATCTCACATTGAAATGTATGTTTTCTTGTGTGGGTATGACATGAATAAAACAAATACTGTATCTATGTTTTTGTGGGGACATTATTTCACAGCGGAAGGGGAAAGAAGATGTTTGCAGTGTTCAAAGTTTGCAATTGAAACAACAACTCAAGAACTCTGCACATGTACTACATCAGAAATACACATTCATGGTCATCTTCAGGCTTGACTGTCCTATCAATCATCTGTTCAAATCACCTCCCACCCACCGTGCAAACCCATGACACACCCAAAACAATGCTTCCGTCCCTGAAAGCAAAATAAAAGGCTTGACCATGACCTTCCAAGGCTACAGGCCAGCACTAAATCGGCCTAAATTTATTCAAGTGCTGCAGCTGTGCCTGAAAGTATAGACAGTGTATTCCACATGGGTGTTCCTAAATAGACTATCAACCAAGACAGCATTCTGGAATCCAGGAGTTGGTATGTGTCTCCTCTCAGCCAAACACATATAGCAGAAACGTTGACAGTTACCTTACGAAATTGGTCCCAGCGACCTTGGTCTTTTCTACCCCAACATTTAACTATTCACACTACATGTGCTACCAATCAACTTGAGTCCATGGAACACAACTTGTCTGTACTAGTCTATAGTAAAGGGGTGATGTTTCAAATGTATGCACTCCTAGTGGTCTTAAACTGTCAATATCTCAGGAATTAAAACTTTGCACCCTGAAAACTTGTCAAATCCCCTTCAAATGCAGTTCCAACAAATTCTATATACAATAGTCATTCCTCAAATAAACCCCCCGAACCAGAGGACTTGGATTGATCCTTTTGGCAACTGGAAGATTGTTCCATTACCTCATGGGGGTGCCAAGAGGATGGAAAAACTTCCATTTTTTCTGTAAACTAATGCAGGAAGTATATCAACTCTGACCTGCTATAGGCATCCCCCCAGAAAACTGCCAAGATTTTTTAAAATCCCCCCAAAACAGCTTTCAATGTTTTAATCCCTAGTTTGTAGGCAAAGGTGCAACTGTTGTGCAACCCCGTAACAACAAGGCACATATGTTTTGAGTTTGTCCCAGTACTAGTAGTGGCGTACTTCGGAAGTGGCCGATTAGAAATGGCCAGTTTCCATCTTCCCAGAGACTCTGAACATAATCTGACACAGTCCAGAAAAGTACAATTCCTGTTAATACATGTATGATGTAGTTGGAAGAAGACAGCAACATCGCATGATATTCAATACTCAGATCAGCAACATTCTTGAACATCTTCATATATTTGGCAAGCAGAAAACTGAAATATTTCAACCACTGTAAAAATGACAATATAACATTACATAATATAATAAATCATACATATATATAGCTTTTACCTGGTAAAGTAGTGAGCAAGTTGTATGACAAGTTCTCACTAGTAATAATGCAAAAATAAACCACATTTGGCAAGGTATTAAAAAACAGTTACATGTATGCTAATGGCACAGTCACAATAGTTGTTTGCTGTCATACTACTACTGGACTACTATAGTAAAAGAAAGCATGCTGTGACAGAAACAATTGCAGACATGGATTTAAGACAACCTTTCCTGTAAATTGTAACAAGACGGCTGACTTTTGCAGGACTAAGGCACAAACATTCAAGAAACGGAAACAGAGAAACATAGTAGAAATATCGTCCCCAGTTTTACGTTACTCTTTCTGTGTGACAGCGCCGGATATGACTCTGCCAGGCGGCAGTTGGCTCACTTCACAAAGTTTCACATACATCTGACAGTTGGACAACCAACATCCAACAGCCAATGACATTCAACTGAATGTCATTTTAAACATTTAAACTCCAACTGCCATGCAATTTACTCAACATTGCCATGGAAGATTAGAAATGACAAAAGATGTCGTACGTCAAATCTACCAACACTGTACACCGATTAAAAATGTCTATACACCGTAAATTGATTATTTTCACAGAGACTTAATTGGGTAGTAGTCAGTGGTAAAACAATTAGAACAATTCTATAGTACAGTAACACTTTACATTTGAAATGCGACAATTTTGTAGAGTTTACCGCGAATACTGCGATGATAAAACCATCTCAGTCTAACATTTCTGAGAATTATAAAAAGACCTACCTCAGTTCTATCAGGGTGATACTGAATAGCGACGGTCAGGTAGGCCTTCTGAATCTCACCTGTAAAACAAAAGAACATTGGAAGTTGTCAGATACTAGCCCACCACAAGAAATTATAGTTTATACAGGGCTCAAAATCCTTTTTCCTGCACTCACACTGGGCCAGGTAACACTGAAAATTACCTGTACCTGACAAATGTTACCTGCACCACTTAGAATTTAGGAAGTATGGATCATACTGTTCATAAACCATTACTGTTATTCTTTTATATTTCATAGGTGGTAACAGTGAGTCAATGCTGCAAATAGAAATCTACACACACCTATACACCCAGTATATGGACCAGTACAGGTTAGGTACAGGTAGACATCAGAAATACCTGCACAGCTCCAATTTTACCTGCACTAACGAACCTGCATATGCAGGTGGTATTTCCTTGGCCTAAATAATTACAAGTTTAAACACGACAGCCATTGTACCTTGACTATTAGTATTACATATCCAGCTTTTTTGTTCACTACATATTCATATGATTCAAACACAATGGTTTTCAAAAGGGCGTCACGCGACATTTAAGTATACAAAAATGACAAATAAAAAAGATCATATCCTGTTACATAATGCACATGTAGGAATCATCTAGTATTAACATTACAAGGTGCTAAGTTAACTGTTAAAATACTTTTCAAAAACTTTTTTTCAAAAAACATGCTACATAATTTAAGGTATCATGCTAATTTCTACCTGACAGTCAGACTTCACGAATGTCAACACATTTTTATTACAATTCAATCCAGTTTATGACATTTCGCGTCAGAAGTGAACCAACATCAACTATACTACTATACGGGTGATACTTGTGCCACTATCATTATCAAGCCCATTTACGCAGGTGGGATTTTGAGCCTTGTATAAAGGTAATCAAAACTGCCAATACAAGAGTAGACCATAAAATACTACAATCATAATGCAAAAAATCTAACAATATTCAATTTATTTGATGCAGCTCCATTGGCAAGAAAAAGTCAATGACTGAATGAGACCTTTTTGCTTCTAAAGCAAACATAGTGTGGGAAAGAGCTGAGCTGTTCCTTATAGAAATGGGAGGCAGTTGGGAAAGTCACTTGTAAGTTGTAAAAAAAGGGGAGTGTTTGGAGGCTAAAAAATGGAATGACATCTAATTTCCAAGCAGATGTTGGTGGTGAAAGATCACAATATTATATTTCTGGTGGCCAAACTTCTTTGAATACTTGAAACACTTGAATACTATTGTGCATATTGTAATTTTTCAAGAATTCGATGTTACAAGTTGGAAATGGTTTGGACTATGGACTGTCAGGGCCAGGGAAGCTCGGCCATATGAAAACGTTAGATCTTTCACCCCAATATCTGCTTGGAGACTGGCTACAAGGCAAGAGCTACACATATCCCACTGTTAGACAGCTGAATTAACCACTTATTTACTTCTTTGCCGCATTTTCAAGATACCTGTGATTAAAAAAGCCACAAACAGGAAATTTGAGTGGCTCAAAAACGTGGACTGACCACAAAACTACTGCTGACAATCGCGAGAATCCACGTGAATTCGCGTGAATTCGGCTCAACTGCTCCAGGAAAATACGAAAAAAATATAGCAAACTCGCAGACGGTCAAATATCTACATGCAAAAACTGACATAAAAACACTACACGAAGGAGACTCTTCGTAAAGAAACACAACACTTTGTGCGTACACATTGCTGTAAAATATTTAGCAGCGGTTGCGGCGCTTGCTCTAACTCATGAGGCCAGCCTCCAACAAAAATGGCGATGGCTCCGTTTTCGTCTAGCCCTTTTACGCCTCTTGTATCATGTATGCAAAAATAAAATTGTGCACAGCGGCATATGCCGCGGATTTACGTCTCCCAAAGCTGGGTTGCGCTTTGAAACCACTTTCTGTAGCTGTCTGCAGTTTTCAAACACTTGTTTCTTGCAGGAAATCCTCGAAACCACATCTAGAAAACCGCCGATGTAGGCGGAGCTCTCTTTCTTGTGTATGTATTTTTACTCGCCATACAATCATATATTTACGCTTTATATACTCACTCGCTGTAGCATCTGGCTCTATTCCTAATATGTCATAACAGTTGTCGTTGTCATCTGACGCCATGGAAGTGCCCCGTCTCACCGCACGTCCATTTGTTGCGAGTTGGCGGAGCGGGACGGCAGAGAAAAAGGTCGGAATTTCTCCGTGCTGAGAGAGATCGAGAAGTCGGTAAACCCAGACTAGACAAAATGGCGCTGGTGTTTACCTTGTCCCCTGCACATTCCAGCCGCCTGTTTCCCGGCGTGCACCGCGCGCGTGACGCAAAGGCCAAGATCGCGCAGGGCCTTGGCCTGCCTCAGGTTCATATGAACTTGATCTTTCATTAAAAAAAAAAAAAGGTATCCAATGCGATTTCAGGGCATCAAAACTGGATATATTTTGAATATGACAATCTTTATGACACATACTGCTTCAAATCAGCACATTTTAATCAATATTTCAACCCCCAAGACGAGTCCTTTGTTTTATGGGTGGTAACCTAAAAATCAGCAAGGGCCCTTTCAGTATTCTGCATAGCCTCCGGCCTTCGCAAAGTTTTTGAAGCGGCGGCGTTTCATGATGATTTAAAAAAAATCGATAGCAGTTTACTAATAGTTTGGCTATAAATGTTCAAGCAGATGTTAGGCAGATGGTCACATTCCGTTTCCTACAGATCTCCATATTCGACCCTGTAGCTACAAGTATATGTATGTTCATGATCACTATTCAGGAGTATAAATGTACATTTTTATGTGACCTAAATTTGGCGGAGCAACTTCAAGAAATGTGAGATGATGTGACCACGGATAAAAACATCTGAAAATGAGAATTTTGGGGAAAAATTAATTCTGAATAGACACCCAGGGCGCTAAACGCAGTTATGTAGACCTCTTTATATGCATCCAATTTTGCTCACTATCCATTTATTTATGACACTCTGTCTAGGAAAATTAATTTTGTCGACCAAAAATAATTTCGTCCCAGTTTTCAGATACATGTAATTAAGAAATTGCTGAATGTCCACATAATTTCTTGACAACAAATTAAAGCTTGCTTTCACAACGTTAACTTCTACTGTATGTTACATTATTTTCAGTTTTTCCATCGAATTCACATAAATGTCACATGTATACACCTGTTAATGATAGATAGCACGTTGGCAGAACGAAATGCGCCGGCGCCTGTGCGAAATCTGAACCGTAATGCGCATGGCACTTTTTCTGGGTTCCGGCTATTAATAAAGACATGATTTATTCAACTCCTCCGTCTTGAAAAAGAGCTTTTTTTTCCGGCGACATGATTAATTTCTTCGACACTCAGGGCTGAGAAGCCGCGCGCATCAGTTCAGATACTTAAGTATCTATTTGTTGGCTACAACGTTCTTTGACGAACTGTATAAAATTGTGTAGGCCACAACTCTTCTATATACTCACAGAACACATCTACAAAGCACCATGGAACGTCGTCTCAGCGCTCTGAAGGTCTGGTTGTTGTTTAGCGTCATGCTATCTGCCGCCGGGAATGAGACTTGTCCCCCCGAATGCAGATGGGTGAGCTGCTCCGGCGGTCAGCTTCAGTTCAGGCCAGTGAGGTCCTGGAAAGAACCTGACTCTAGGTGGAGTTGGTTCAAGACTAGGAACGTCAAACATCCTTGTCTCACGTGCGACCATGGCTCGAAAGAACCTACAGGACCTCTCCCTGGCGCCGCGTGCTTCACACACCCGAAGTGGGTCGGCGTCAGGGGAGTTTCGTTCGGCGTTCTGTCGGCGGCAAAGTTGCCCATCCCCGACCCGACACAACTGGCTTTCCTCGCCCTCGTGGATACCGAGATTACGGACATGGAACAGAACACCCTAGCAAACCTTTCCAAATTACAGGAGCTGCGCTTGGAATTCAACAACCTGACTGAGGTAAAACCAACTACTTTACAGCAGGTGGTTT